CCCTACGCAGAGGATTCAACACCAGGTCGCGTCTTGCCGATCCAATACCCTCCGCTGGTGCACGCAGAAGAGCCAACCCTACCGGCAGCCCTCGACTTTGCTGTACCACTCCCAACTGCCACCCAAGAAGCGGTGTGGGAGCTACCGCAGCCATAGGTGATGCCGTCTACTTCAGCCTGCATCTCACAGATAGCTGGTAAGTTTTGACCGCAATATGTTCTTGCCAGAAAAGGTATGCTGATTGTACGACTCCCAGACGACTGCGGACTGCATACCCTTTCCTCATATCGATATTCGAACCACGTATCGCTTCGTTGCACCCTCATTTCGGCTTGGTTGTACGCTTTATATCATTGTTATTTGTATTTTTGACGATCAATCTATTGACGATCTGTTTATCTTGGTTATCCAATATGTCCACTCGAGTCATTAGGAAGTGCGAGACTGGACCCACACATGTCGTCCTCGGGCATCGAACCCTGGTCAGGTGTGCATTGACTATTCCAGCACCTACAGGTGGGAAGAAGACGTCCGATAAAGTTGCAATGCGGCAGATAAAACCTAGATGGTCTGATCTATTTTCCTTGCCTCGAGACACCCACCTATTCTCAACATTTCCACCTCACCCAACTACAACTCTTCAATGGCCTCCGTCAACGGAACGAGCGATGCTACAAGCGTGCCGGGTGGACCTCCAACGAGGGACGCGACGTACTTCTTGGAGCCCCTTTTCTTCCTCGTATGTTTCTCAAACACCCGCCGATCACCACGATCTGACCAGCGCTTGTCAACACCAGGTAGAAGACGGCATATTCCAAGTCCCTAAACACCACTTCCAGCTCAACGATGTTTTCTCAACGACCTTCATGCTCCCTCCTCCGCTAGGGGAGACAGCGGAGGGCTCCTCGGAGAAAAAACCATTTGAGCTCAGAGGCATACTGAAGAAAGATTTTCAGGCGTTCTTGCGAGTTCTCTACCCTTTGTGAGCCCTCATCCACTGGCTATTTTTTACCTTCGTTCTTTCTCAGGACGAATTGCATAGGGGCGTGCCTAACAACTATGAGGATCTTACCTCCGAGGAATGGCAGTCGGTTCTCCGCCTCTCCTCTATGTGGGAGTTCCAAAGCCTGCGCGACCTCGCAGTCCAATGGCTCGGCAAGCCAGGCATGCTCGACTCAGTATCCAAGATCCAACTCGGAGAGTCGTATGACCTACACGATTGGTTTGTAGCGGGGTGCGGCGAGATAGTGGTGCGCAAGAAGGGACCACGAGGAGAGGAGATGGTGAGGTTGGGCCACGACATGACGGAGAGGCTTTACGACCTAAGGGAAGCTCACCTTCGCGCTCAAGGCGGCTTTCACAATGTCAGGTACGACGTCGGGACCGCTGTGAAGAACGAGTTTGTGGATGTCCTGGGAGAAGTCGAATATACCTGGTGATCTTCCCAGAATTCTGCAAAGTGCTTTGTACATGTGGGTTAGAACAAGAACTCCATCGTACGAGAGTCATCGTTTAAGTAACAAAAATCATTAAGGAAGTAGAACATAAATAATAAATCCACATTGATGGTTGTACTGTGAGTCTCGAGTGCCTTGGCGCCGTCAAAACAGAAATAGAATACACCTGCTTATGTAACCGCCCAAAATGTTCTCCAACCCGTACCTCCCACATGTCCTGTATGCCGTCGCGCTGACCTCGGTTTCTATGAACCTCGTCAGCGCGCGGAAGGAGATCGAGGACGAGCGCGCACGGAGGCAGGCCCAGATCTCCATCCTCCAGTCGATCAAGGAGCAGCTGCAGAGCGAGAAGCCGCTTTCCAGGGAAGAGCTCGACCGCCTGAAGCGGCTGGCACGGCCGTCTGAGAAGGACATCGCGCTGAGGGCGGGCCTGGTGGGGGATGATGTGACATGGGGGGATATATTCAGCGGGAAACCGCCGGTGTTGAGCAGGGATGAGGAGGTTAGCAAGTGGGACCAGCAGGAGCTGGATAAACGTGCGTGGACTGCTCTCTTGTGTCTTTCGTGTATCTGAACCTTGAACTTTAGTGAAGAAGGAGTTGGAGAAGTAGTCTTGGATGCACCTTGTCGCTTATCCTGTCCTGGAAAATACTCTTGAGCCACTGCGCTATATATACGACTTGCCTGCCACTTCCGTTCTGTGCTTCGACAGCGTCGCAAATTCCTATGGAAGGACTACGTACAGAAGAATGCTGGGATATCCACTGTGTCACTCGTGGTGTAAACCTTGTCCTGGATGCTAGGGACTTGCTCGAATCTCCTCGAGACCAGGACAAGTTTCTGCCCACGGACATCCCCCGAGGGCACACTTCACTCCACTACGTCAATACACCCTCTTTTCCTCTTAACGGCGCATAAGATTCCTCCAGATTCAAGGAGTAGGTCACTTCTGCCGGCTACAATGCTGACGACACCCGCACCAAGCCCTAGGAAATAGAAGCTTCAGCCTCCGGCTAAGTTGATCAACACATTCTTGGGCTGTGTACAGACATGAGAGCAAAATAGGTGCATCAGACGGTTTCGACACCACCACAACGTTTGCAAGGGAGTTGGAGGGATTTTTGTTCGACGTCGACAGCTGCAGCCTTCCGGCACAAACATTCAGTCAAAGTACAAGGACAAAGTACAACCTAATCTGTGGTACACATTACTACAAGGTGAGTTATTGCATTGCCTATACAATTTACACAGAACAATAAGGCTAAACCGAAGAACGCAAACAGAACAAGTGAAAACGAGCAAACTGAATAAGGAAATAACTGCTATTGAAGGCCGACCGACGTCCGTTCACCTTCGACGTTGCCTCTCCGGCGCTACTCCCCGAGACAAGTAGCTCTCCGCCTCCTTCAACCCAGATTCCACCAATACCTTCGGCTTCACGATCAACTCATGCCGCAAACACTCCGACGGGGCTCTCGGCGGGGTGATCTTGACCAACCCTAGGCCCAGCGTCGCAACAACGCGATCGTCAACACTAGGATGCACAGCAGCGGTCCGCCAATCGCTATACCCCTCTTCCATATACAAGGGATCGTATGACAGTCCTCTGAGGCGCACGATCCTGACCTCGAGCGATGCGGACGTGGACGCAAAGCGCTTCGGTCTTCCGCTGAGTTTGCCCCGGAGGTCCTGTGCGGCTTTGAGTATGAGCGAGAGGTGCTGCTCGAACTTTGCTGTGTCGCTAGGGATCCAGCTCGGCAGCCTGAAGACCGTTTGGAAGGCATCTCTTGCTTCGGCCAGAGAGATGTCGTTTGGTGGGGGCAGGGGCGTTTGACCCCGTGGCCCAGGGTTAGTAACGAACGCGGGTGCTTGCCACTGTGCTTGGTGGTATTCTGCGTGCAGATAGGGTCAGTAATTCGCTCTTCTAAACTACGAATTCATAGACTTACCTGGAGTTTCATATACCTCGCCTACCAGAACCCGCGCGCCATCCTGCGAATGCACGTCGATCTTTCGATAACATATCCTCACGAGCAAGACCTGGGTTACGAGCCTTGCGAGCAGCGCGTTCACGCCCGCCTCCTTCTTCGGCTGCTGTGACAACGCGAACGCGAGCTGTTTGCCAATGCAGCTCTCCACCTCCTTGTAGTTTTCGTCATATTCCTCCTTCGATTTGTGGGACTTCCGTCCCCAGACGAGCGAGTCGCCCGCGGTGGTTGCGAAGCGCGCGATCTGGTCGTTCAGTGCCTTGAGCTGGCTCATTACACGATTTTGGAGGATGAAGATCGAGGTAGCGTCCTGGTTCACCGCGCCTGTGCCATTAACAACAACATTTGGCGCACCGTTGGGTACACCACCAATGCCAGTACCAATTCCGTTAGGCATTGGAAGTGGGAATGGTGGCGCACTAGCGTTGTGCGTCTCCCGGAAAGTAGTCGTCCCCAGCAGCTGTAGCTGGTCCCGGTCCCAGAGCCCTAGCCGGGCCTGGGCGGCCTGAAGTTGCATCCGCAGGCCCTTTATCTCTTGCTTGAGCTCCTCGTTCTCTTTCTTGTGTGCGTCTCGCTGGTTGGACAGGTTTTTGAAGACTTTCTCGGCGTCCGATTGGCGCGCTGTGTATGCGCCGTTCATGCTATCGAGCTCCGCGCGCGCGGCGCTGAGGTGGATGGCGAAGTCGCTCCGGGGATCTGGGTAAAGATGGTTTAGGTCGTTGAGAACGAGGGCCGGGATCTGTGGAATGCAGGCGTACAATTTTCTTGGTTCATAGGTTTGACTTTTTGCATATGATGAGGTCTACAAGTACGGGAGGTGACTGAGGTGAAAAGCTGGGAGGGTGTGCCGCACGGTCATGCCTATAAGTCCGTGGATAGGCGCGCATCAGTCCACCGACTCATCACTACTATTAGCCAAGGCCCTCGAGCACTACGGAGGCACGATTTTGTCGGAAATTTTCAACTGTCACTTCATTGCTGGGCATCGTGTCCTTCGCGTTCACCTGCGCGAACCTATGCAGTATTCCCCTTTGAAGCTGACGAATAAGTACTTGTTGCTGACACGGTCCCAAAAGTCGATCAAGAAGCTGTGTCCCACCGGGGGTAATATCTGTCCGAGCAGCTCTAGGTTATATAGCAGGCCCTGATGGGCGCCTAAAATTATAAAGCCCTGAATGCCAATCCTTCCCTTCACACCATCTTGTGCTTCGATGGCTATGATCCACTACTTTCCAACTACAACATCTGGTCTACAAGGTTTGCCGTTTTAGATTATTGCAGACGTCGATAGCCCATCACTACAGCGTTCTGTTGGTGTGCTGTGAACACCGAAATTGTCGGACGTATACGCCAAGTATAGACCACCGAGCGAGATTTGTATCAACACAGCTTAGAACGAGGACAGAGAAAGCGTCAACGGTGACGTAGTTGTAGTGAGGGGTATTTCAGCAGGCTATGGAAAGCCATAATAATAATTGCTTAGATTCAGCCAGGATTTAATACGGCCTTAAATTCGAATTTGCCAGTGCTCCGCAGGGGTCTGGGATATAAACTTAACTAAACGGTTTTCACTTTTACCTTGAAATAATTTTATTGGAGGCCGCTCTTCGCCCCTTCGTCGCGCCGAGCGACTTCCGGCGGGTTCAGACCTCTGGATGGCGGTCTGTTTCTTCATCATTTAATCCTCTATCATCGAGACTAACTTACTCCTAACTTTAGTCGGAAGTTGGACATCACCTGGGACTGGATGTTAACGTTGAATACTTGGCACGTCTCGCGACACCGGTTCCTCCATGGGGCGCTCAGCAGCCTCACGAGTGAGTGCCTTTCAACTACTTTTGTGAGAGATATACCATTCAAGCCTTCTAATGCCAGCTCTGCGACCGGACTTTTTTCTTCGCTCGCACCATCCACCGGGATCCACCTCCCTGTGAGGCCCAACAACTAGAGACGCAGGAGTTCATCCACCCTTCCGTCATACGTCAAACCAAACTCAACGAGAAACTGTCCACTCTTCTGAAAAAACAGCTGGACCTTGATCTCGGACCTCTGGAAGAAGAGATGCAGAAGAACTGGACATACGATGAGGCGTCACTGATATTACATAGGGTATGATTCAAAGGTAAAATCTGGGATTATTTCCCTTTTTGGAGCTTCTTCTTGCCCCCTGATCCCGGGGGATTACCCCATAGACCCCAACTGACATCGGCCCCCTCCCGTAGTCTCGCTTCCTCCTGTAGTCTCACCTCCTCCAGTACTCTCGCCTCCTCCAGTACTCTCGCCTCCTCCTGCAGTTTCATCTCCTTTCGTCGTCTGAGCGCCTCCTTTTTTCGTCTGACCTCCTCCTCATACTCCCGCTGCTCATTCCGTCGCACTTCCTCCTCGCATCGCCTCTTCTCCCCTTCATGAGGTAAAGGGATTGGCAGTGTCGGGTCTTCGGTAATGGGAGAACATGACACTTCTTGAGGTACCTCAAGCGGGATGTCCTCGATGACACCTTCGTATTCCTCCTCTTCCGCTCTGATATTTCCGAGCTCCCACTCGAAATCGCGTTCCAAGTTCTTTGCAATAATACCAGCCCGAACTGCGCCCCGCAACCGCATTTCCCTGATTCTGAACAGAGAGAATGTGGTTTCGTAGTCGATAACGAGCGCTTCTTCTTTTGTCATGGGTTCGTCCCTTTGGATGAGCTCCTCAAACCCGCTGACGACCCAATGCGAAATATTGACGTGCCGGCCCAATGTAATCTTCTCCACAGAGGTGAGCTCGTTCATCCGCTCTAGCTCAGATATGGCCATCTTCCTGAAGTTCAAGAAGTACCAGAAACTCGACAGCTTCAAGACCGATATCCACTCGGCTTTCGAGAGCGAGAGGGTGAGGGCGACGTTGCTATCATGCACGCCGTCAGCTGGCTGAACTCACATATCTCGATGGACGACTTACAGTGGGTATAAGGCCTTCATGAATTTTTTGAAGTCGACATGGCGAATACCGTCCACTCCGTCGGGCAGCTTGATCGGGTTCTCGCGAGTAGCACCCTCGACATCGACAGAGCTTGCCTGGGGTAGCTTGAACATCCCAGAGAAAATATGAGACTCGGACGTGAATCGGTAGCTGGGCACGTGGAACAGGCGGTTCTCGACCTAATTGGGGACAAACAGCGTCGGAGGGTCATTCGATTTCGGTTGCTGTGCTACGTGGGTGGCGCATACCTGGAAGTATACGAAGCTACTCTGCATGAAGTAGTCTTCGTCTTCCTCTATATCTGGCTCATTCTCCTTTCCTTTGCTGCTAGTAGACGGCGAAGGGACCTCGGGCAGCGGATTCGGTGGCTGAAGGCTCATCGCGGACGTCGGGATGCTGTCGAGGGAGGTAGGGGTGGTAATGGAGATATTGTCTTCAGACATGATGTGATACAAGGACACCGGATGATAGTGGTCCAGAAGAAAGAGGCATTTGAGGGAGTTTGGCCATATATCTTTTCGAGAGCCTGGCTGCCTCGAGGCTTGACCCACGATCTGAACACGTTGTGGGGTGGTGCCGACTTTTGAGTGTATTCTATTACAAAGATATCCCAGAACAATGCTCCAGGCTCACTCCTCCAGCTCAGCATAGAAGCGACGGACAAGGGTCCCCGTCTTGATACCTCACTTTCCCAAAATGGGTATCATTTCCATATTAGTCGGGCATTCAAGAGGCTCTAAGCGCGCCGCGCACACAAGACTGAAGAAACCAGGCAACACTGGCTGCGCCATTGTACCTCTGTGTCATGCAACCATGTTTAAAAAACATGACTCTTCTGCATTCTCATTGAAAGGAAGTATTGACCAGTTTATTGCGCCTTTCAAAAAACATTTCAACTCTACCTCAATGGGATTCTAAGCGATGGAAGACAACCGAGATGAATGTTCTTCCTGGAGTGTAACTAAAGGTCTGCCCGTGATCTGCACGGGAGGTTGGGGATTTGAACCTTCAAAATTTAAATTTGGTTCTACCTGAATTTCACTCGAAGCCGCTCTTTCGTTGTGCCGGGGTTTAACCTGTGCGTGGTCTTAATTAAGAGGGAGGACAACTTTTACTATTAGACCCGCGACCGGTCGCCAGTCAACACCCGCGAATGACTATGTCATACAGCAGTGATTCGTGAACGTTTGAACATGTACAGGAACAAGACGAAGAAAGATGTATTGCGACAGACGAGAACATTGCGTATAAGACAACAAAAAAGCGTAAACGTGCGTGCGTGCGTGTGTGGGTAGGTACATACAAAAGACTATACCATTCCATGTCATTCCATTCTTCCATCCAATAGAAAATGTCCCACCGAACAGGCCTCAACCGTCTCCTGGATTCACGAAAACTCCTTAATTGGGATACGTGCCCCCAAGCCCCCAATCAAAGGTCCCCCCACTCCCGCTCGTCTTCTTGCCCGACTGGCCCCAGATAGAACCGAATCCCAGTCCCGCACTGATCTCGCCGAGCAGGCTCGGTGAGCTCACGTTAGCATTAGGGTTCGCCGAGTTAGGGTTGACCGAATTGGCGCTGGCGAGGCTGTAGGGCCGGGCAGTGTGGGTGTCGAGCTTGGGCGGTGGACGAGGAGGAGATGCTGGGTCGAGAGGGTCCTGTGAGGGAGCTGCACCGGGACCACCTCCGTTTGAGGTTGGGCCGGAACCGTTGGAGAGGTCGATCAAGGATTCGGATGTTGGAGGAGGGGTGGTGTTGCTCTTAGTATTGCCGTTGGTGTTGGTAGTAGTGGACGGGGTAGTGGCGTTAATAGGAGATTTGGCAATAGGACTGGGAGGTTGAGCGGCAGTAGGGCTGGTGGTAGCTTTAGTCGTAGTGTCGGTTGGGCTAGGAATGGGGTTGGTGATGGTGGTAGTCTTATTGTCGTCGTTAGTAGCTGGTGTTTCGTCTTTCGTGGTTGTCGTGGTCGTAGTTGTCGCAGTGTCTCCAGGCGCAGGCTCAGCCGTCGCGCTCGGTGGTACATCCGTCTTGTCCTCTCCCTCCTTCACCTCCTCCTTCGCCTCCTCTGCGTCTCCGTTAGCCGTCACCTCGGCCTCCGCGGCCTTCTTCTCATCCGCACCCTCCGGCCCGCTCTCTTTCCTCGCCTCTCCCTCCTTCACCTCTCCCTCCTTCCCTGCCTCCGCCTCCGCCTGAGCTGGTACCTGCCCCTCCTGCTGTCCCACAGCAGGAGTTGGGGGAACCACACCCTCACCGCCCTCCTTTCTTGCGGTTCTTGTTGCCGCCGCCGCCTCGGACGGGGGTGTTGACGTCGGTGTCTTCTCCGTCTTTGCCTGCGTTTGCGCCGCCTTTGCCGCCTTTTTGTCCGCTGGTGTCGACTGTTGGTTTTTTCCCTTGTTTTTCTTTCCCTGCTGCTGTTGTTGCGCCTGTTGTTGCGCTGGCGGTGGTTGAGGGATCCCCGCTGGTGGTTGACCCTTCTGCGTCGTCGCCGTTGGTGTCGGTGCCGTTGGGGTGGCCATTACCGTTGGTGTGGAGGTTGGCGGTGTCTTCGTCTGGCGCCGGTTTCGCCTTCGGTGGTGTTGGCGGCGCCTGCGTTGGCTTGTCCGCCTCTTTCGCCTTCTTCTACAAAACACCCCGAGGTCAGCAAAAAAGCACACGACGCGAAGAGACAGCAGGATACCAATCCACCTGTAGTGCTAGCACCCGCCGTCTCCTTCTCCTTCTCCTTCTCCACCACCTCCACCTCCAACTTATCCGCCACCTCCGTCGGTGCGATCTGAAACAGCTCGCGAATCGCCGCATGCAGGTCCGCTCCCTTTATCGTCGGCTCAAGCGGGCTCCTCACCCCACTTGGCAGGCGCGAACGCGCCTCCTCCCGCCCCGCCGCGATCATCAACGTCGTCTCCATGCCGAGCGCCATCCCTTCCTCAAGCGTCAGCGGCTCGGGGCGCGCGCAGAGCGCAGCGTACCGCGGCACGAGGAGGTTCCGGTCGACGGCGTTGGCGTGGTACAGCGCGATGCGCTTCACGTCGCCGAGCTCCTTCTTCTCGAGCTCGCGCACGGCGAGTTTTTTGACTTCGGGGAAGCGCCAATTGTTCGCGAACCGGAGGATGATCTCCCAGTCAGACACGGGGGCGTGGTAGAGTGAGTACCGGCTGGAAGGAGTGCGTTGTCAGTAGGGAATCAAACTGTGAATGCGATTGGAGAGAACGTACGGGTTATAAAACACCCATAAAAACTTCGCAAACTCAACAGGCGTGATTCCCTCTAATATAATCGCATTCGAGTCGTTCGAGCCTTGGGGCACGACACCAGGCGACGCGGGCGTCGTCAGTTCCTTGCGGAAGTACGCCGACTCGCGTTCGAAAAAATATCGATGGACCCGGAACTGGACTTGCTCCACCTACACGAACCCACGTTAACACTCAACACTCACAAAACCACGAAGATATAGCCTGACTCACCAGGATCGATAGATCGGCAGAAGAGATATAGTACTCTTCGTGTCTCGTCAGCGTCAACAGGTTTTGGGTCTGCGGGGACGACATGGTGATTGTTGATGGTGGTGGTAGTCGTAGGCTCTAGAGGTACAACAACGACGCCGTCAAGGCTTCAACGGCGGAAAGGAATACAAGAATGAGATGGGTGGAGTTCGCTGAAGAAAAATTCAACGGAGAATTGCGCTTATGAGGCCCCGAACACGTGTAGAGAACACGTTTTTGCTGGACATGAGGCGTAGCGTTAGGCGGTCGGGTCATTCAAGACGTGAGGGCAGGGTACCGCGGGCACGAAGCGGGCTGGGTGTACGTCCGCCATTGTTCGAAGAAGTGGCTGCGTAAGAGGTATGTAAAGCGGGGCGTGGTGGGAGGCGTTGAGGTAATCGCGAGGTAATCGAGCACAATGCGGTCGATGGTGAGCGCGACTCGGAGGTTGCCGTTGTTTGGTGACTTTTTCCGCGTACAAACATGTCGGGCCGGTTTCCCGACTATTCACTTTCATCTTCGGGTCGACTTCATCGAGCCTCGTACCAGCTGTCGGGTGGCCTTGTTACATTGTGTAATTGATCTTCCAAAGGGTGTGCGAGTTTCAGCAGTTTTAACTTTACAGGAGCAGCAAGAAAGAATAGTTTATTCAATCCATACAAGAGTAAGTAATACACATTGACAATACAACAAAGCCAGAAGAGATCCCAAGATATGAGGGGTGTGGTACACATCAACACAGTACACAGTGGCAAGAAATAGATGTCGAGAGAGATCGAGGTGTTTTTTTGGCGATGAAAAAGGCGGCGGCGCTGTCAATCATTTGTTCCCGTGCTTGCCAGTCATCTTGCCGGTTCCTCGACCAGCACCTTGGCCAGCGTACCGATTCGAAGAGCCATTAACCTTTGGACTCGTCGGCGACGAAGCTGTAGATATAACACACGTCAATACATCAAATTGAGAAGAAAAAGCAAAAAAGGATACTCACTAGTAGGCGACCCCGACCCCGGGTTCTCCTCCCGAAACTTCCTCGTCGACCCCTCCTCCAACTCCAACCTCCCCTCAATCGCCCTAAAAATATCATCCATCTCCATCCCCTGCGGTAGCGGGCTCACACCCCCACTCGCGTCCGCCGGCTTCGCCCTCACCGCCTCCCGCGTCGTCATCACTAACAACGTCGCCTCCAGGCCCAGGATCTCCGACTCCTCCCGCGTCAGCGGGGTAGGGCGCTCGCAGAGCTGCGCGTACAGGGGCACGAGGTGGCGCGGGTCGACTTTGTATTTTTGGTACAGCGCCATTTTGTGGATGAGGGAGAGGGAGGGGGATTTGTGCAGCTCGCGCACGGCGAGCTCTTTTACTTCGCGGAAGCCCCATTTGTCGGCGAGGTTGAGGATGGAGGTCCAGTCGTCGATGGAGGCGTCGTAGATGGAGTATCGACTGTATAGGGCGTTAGTGGGTTTGGCTGGAAAGGGGAGAGAGAGGTCGCACGGGTTGTAGAACACCCATAACAATTTAGCAAACTCCTCTGGAGAGACGTCCTCCAGTATGATCGGGTCGTTGTCCGTCTGCCCCTCCTTGACGTCGCCAGGCGACGCCGGGTTGAGCCTCCTGTTGAACACGGTAGACTCGCGGGCGAAGAAGTATCCGTGCACTCTGAAGAGTGTCTTTTGTGCCTATACACGTCGAGAGCGTCGAGGACGACGTCAGTAATGAGGAGAGATCTAGCGAGGGAACAGGGTACGTACGACGACGTGCATATCCGCGCCCTCGATGTAGTATTTGTCGTGGCGGTTGATAAAACCGAGCCCGGAGTCTCTGTCGTTGGATGGGGTCATTGTGGATGGTGGTGGTGAGTTTCAGTGGAGTGCGTGTGCGTCGCTGGTGTCGTCGTGTTCGTGGTCGTCAAATGGTCGGAGTACAATGATGATAGCAATAAACTGCAGCTTCAAAATTTCAATCAGTACCCTCTACCCAGTCTCAGCGGAGGGCGACGATAACCCACCAGATACCAGTTATCTCAAATGAAGATGAGAGTCGGAAGGAAGAGTTATCTATCTCGCCCCACCCCACAAGCGGCGTGGTATATCAGGGCAAGCCTCGAGGCCGCTGGGTTCAAGTTCGCTTACCCCCTACCCTGCCTGCAGGCAGGCATCGAAGCTTTCCAGTCACCGCCTTACCTCATACGTTGCCCATTGGCCTATTGTCCGGCTTCCTAACCCACCTGCATCTCCTCGAGGAATCTGGGATCTGGGCGTGCTTGCATTGCCATCGCTCGCCGAAGCCCTACACGTGTAGGCGGCGTGTCGTGTATGAACCTTCGATGCGGCAGTCCAAATACTTACGAACAACGCTGGGCATTGGGTGGTAAGAGTAAGGATAAGGGAGGTATGGGCGCTTATTTGTGAGATGAGGATGGGTGTTAGTTGGGGACGCGGATGCCGCCGCTGGATCGAAGATGTAAGGACACAGGAAGAGCGAAAGGGTGGTGAGTTGAGTACGTTTTTCGCGTAGAGAGATTAAACATCTTTTACGATTATTCTTTTCTTTTGGCCGACTCGGAAGGGCACTGGATGGGTTTGGGGTTGTGAGACGTGACGGTCATGGTGGAAGGAGCATGTAGGGGTGGCTAAAAATACACTGAAACGCTTTCAAATGTGCGCAAGTACAGAGCATCTAGGACGTCCCACGAAGGATCGCGGCACTACTTACTGATTGCACAATGGCACATCTTGTTCCATCCGAACCAGGGGTCGTGTTTCTCGGCCTGCACTAGCAAGAAAGGAAAAGAAAGGGAAAAACTTTGCATTACAGCTCAAGGAGATGGCTGCGGCGTTCGAGGTTCAGGGTATGGGTCTTGTGGCTTTTGTGGGTCGCAAGCCAGAGGTAGATTGAGTAGTATGTGAAGCTCGTGAAGGGCGAACACAAACTGCGCAAACCACGATGCAGAGAGATTTCGAGAGTGACCCCATCGAGACCACTTAATGCAGATAGGCGTGCCGACGCCTTAGCCCACAGCGCTGCGGCCCTAGAGCTTTGTCCCAACCTCCTGGCTTTCCTTTCCTCCTCTTACTCCTCCTGCACCTGTGGCGTCCTCCAACTCTGAGAAAATCCGCTGGAACGTCCCAAACGTCTCACGCCCCAAAATCGCAAACACCACCCTATCAAACGACCTCCCGAACCGCGCCTCCTCCCCTACCAGCAGCTCGCGCCACGTCTCCGCGACCAACTCAACCCGATTCCTGAACACGCCCGTCCCGAAGCTCCCAAGGACCAAATTCCGTACCCCATGTCGTTCGAATAGGTATAGGACACGCGCCATGCGCTCCTTCATCGCCTCGTCCAGCTCGCTCTCGTCTCCCTCGCGCTGGCGCTGGCGGAGGTACCGCCGGACGACGCCCGCGTTGACCGCGCAGGAGGTGGCCATCTCGACAGGGACGGGGGAGTGCCAGTCGCCCGAGTCGGTGCGGATGAGCAGGACGTGAGGAGAGTAGATCATCGCATGGGAGTAGTAACCTTCTTTGGGGTCTTTCCGGTGGGAGTGGTAGAACTGTTGCGCCTGAGGGGTCAGGAGGCTTGGGTAGAGGGTTGACGAGCGGGCGATGGACTCTTCCTGGTAGTGGATCAGTTGTGAGGATATATGAGGGGACGTAGAGGAAGTGACGAACGCACCTGAGCCGAAGCTCCCTTGAGGAAACCGCCTCCGGGGTTCTTCGCCGACGCGAAATTGAGCACGCCAACACGCTTCTCTACGTCTTTCTCCTTCTCCGCCTCTAAAGCCACCAGCTCGCTCAACTCTCTCGCTCCAGCCAGCATCGAGCATTCTGATACGGCAATCTTAACCGTCCCCTCTTTCGCACTAGCACCGTCTGCCTCAGCGCCCTCTGGTTCAGAATGCGCCTGTCGTTCGGAGCGCCATTCAGCTAGGTTCGAGTCGGCAGAGTAGAACGCTGTCCGTTTGTTCATGTCGTCGATCGCAAGCTTGGCGTTGTAGGTGTGCCCATTGATGTCGTAGCTGCCTCGCGTAATCTTCTCGAGGGTAGAGGCGGCGATATCCACGAGCGACCCCTTGCTGGGGCGCGTAGAACCTGATGGTTTGGGCTGCTTGCCTTTCGAACGCTTCGTCATGGGTGCTGCTGGAAGGAAAGCAATAAGGGAGGATGAGCAGGAAAATGAGGAAATGTACGCCTCACCAGAACAAAGAGGAGCAGATAAACGCGTTTTCAAGGTCCTAAACAATGGTTTCGTCGATATTTGAGGGATTTTGGTGGTAAAGAACATCGAGGCTCATCCTGACTCGAACAAAGGACAGCTTTGCGGTGCCGTTGACATGCGGCCGCAGACCATAACTCGTTCAAAGCCAAGCAAGACCAGACTATTATGGCCGTGAAATTAGAAGAGAGGACGTGCCGTGCTGTAGGTAGCTTTAGGACATTTTGGAGAGGTATCTGCCAGCGACATCATCATGGTGGTGGTGGAAGAGAAAGAGCGGCGAGCGGAGAAACGGTCCGTGATCGTACGGTTACGTCAGCGACAATCAGGGGCTGCAATACTTAGGGGCGATTCGCTTCTCTCTCTTTCTTCGACAGCGTTCAACGAGCCTTAGGCGCCTAGGCCTCAACTCCACTCCTGTTTCTCTCTTTCCAGTTCACCATTATTTCTTCGGAAGCACGAGTATGTCAGAAATATTCTTACTTGCGGACTCACGACACTGTTCCCCAAAGCTGATTTAATCATTCGACTGGAGCAAACTGCGAGGCTAAACGAAGTCCAGGAAACCTGGACAGCTCGTTGAACATCCTGAAGAAAGAAACGGGTCTGTACGGCTCACTTATGAACATAAAGTCTAGCAACCTATCCTCTTGGGCCGGTCACCTCGTTCCCCGATATACCAGCTATGCAATAACATTCGTCTCCTTCTACGAGTATTTGAAAGGTTGTAAGTGACTTTTGCTGAAAGCACCTAGGAGGTGTGGTGTCGTCAGGAACGACGCATGAAATGATGTCATGGTCAATCCTCGCGCACGATTTGCCTCCTTCGCCCGGGTCTACAGTTAGGCGCTGAAAATCACACAACCAATAATGATAGGATAAAGGCTAGGCGGTATATGTACTGCTGTATTACAAGGCGTGACCAGTGGAAAAGAACAACTACAGAATATCGAGAGCTACGAGAACAACAACAAGGGGGTCGTCGAAAGGTCGTCTAAGTAATACGTGTATGCGTCAATTATTACCCAAGAATTTCCATGATACCAAGCGAGCATACTACCACATATGCTTCGGCCTCAAGCCAATCGTGCGTGCTGGAGGCGTCCAGTCGTTCCCAAACGACGATTTCAGCACATCCTCCATACTCCTCAACAGCGCCATGCGACATGGTATCCTCCTCATCTTCCACCACCTGGCCTTCTCCGGCTCGCGATCATGCTCCATCCAATACTTCCTCATCTCTTCACGCGAGTGCTTGTCGCTGAGCCACCACTGGTAGTAGTACCACTCAGGGCCGCACGCGCCGAGACGCCCGCGCGTGAACCCATTGGGCGGCATCCCGCCGCGCGCGGGCGAGTCTGGGTCGCCATGCCACACGGTGATAAAGCGCGACGGGAAGAGAAAAATAACAGCATTATACAGCGTCTGATCTTTCCCAGCGAAAAACCCGAGCGAGAGGTAGTAGTCGTGATAGGAATAGAACGTCCGTGAAAACCAGGTTACGGCCTTGGGCGTCCCGCCGAAAAATGATCCTGTGGAATGCAATGAGTCCAATCATGTCAGGGGAGGGTAGAGTAAGATGGATAAGGATGACGGCACCTTCGCTGATATCAGAATCCACGGGTCCAGCGCCCTCTGTCCAGCCTTGGGCATGAGTGGGGGGTTGCCAGTACATCGGGAAGAAAACTAGTTCCTCCTGGCTCGTCCCTGTCGCCCGAGTACCCTCCTCCCATATCCGCTGCACGCGCTCGCCAAAACACATAATCATACTCCTTTCGTTCCCGCAGTTTCCGCATCTTGATGGCGTTCTCCAGGAGGAACGGCTTAGCGTTCCAGACGGCGTACAAGCCCGGCGAGTGAATCTCCTTCTCGCGATCAACCTCGTGCATCTTGGCGTACATCTCCTCTCGCCCCTGCAAGGCGGGCACGTCGAATGGCGAGGAATAGCTCGTGTCGACGGTCAACGGCAGTCCTGCTCCTCGGGAGTCGCGAACGGTTTGGGCGAACTCGGGCGTGGTGTAGAAGTAGATCTCGGTCGTGACTTGGCCCATGAAACGCGGCAGCCAGGCGGCGTACGCGCTCTGGCCATGTTTCGACTTGGATAAGGGGAATAATGCGGAGACGAGGAGTATGCGCGGTTTCGTGGCGCTCACGTTAAAGGTGGGCGCTGTGCCGGGCTCGAGAGCATCGAAGTTGGGGGCGGGAGGGTCGTAAACGTTATCGAGCGCTAGTGCATT